TCTGGAAGTCCAGCTTTGCAAATCAAAAAATTAATCATATCTGAAAGTGGAGAAGGTTAAACAGACAGTGACTGAATGGACACAGATGGTGGGAATGTAGCTAAAGGTTATTCTTTATGGACTTTGACCTTTGCAAAATATTGCCCATCTTGGAAAAATCTTGTTTGAGGCATTTTACCAGATCTCTTGCCCAGCAGATATTTACAGAAGAAATGGGGAAAATCCCTTCATCTTCTTCCAAAAAAACAAACCCCAACTTATTTTGCTGAGATGCTAAATGTAGCAACACTGACGTCAGAGGCACCTCCTCAGACAGGCTCTGCTTTCCAAAGGCTGATAGCAACCTTGCTCATCCCGTCGTTATTAAGCCCATCTGTTTGCACCTTTGGTTTGTACCAACTGCAGTTTACATCATAAAGCATACAATATGTGCATATTCTTAAATGAGATTTGTCACTTAAGTGAATTTGGGTCAGCGTTTTTAATAGATACTTTACCTAATGCAAAAGTTTTGCTTTCAAATTGTATCAAACAGACTGAAATGCTGTGTTTTCATGTGTATGGGAACTGGAGTTATTAGTTATACCATGAATCTTGGACAGATTAACCTAACCAGCCAAAGAAGTTTCCCTTGTTCTTCCTGTGTAACTCCCTTACAAGAGCTGGGAGGAGTGGCTTCCTTTTCTCTGAGATTGTTGATGAACCAGAAACCCCCGGCTGTGTACCACAACCATAAATACACACACAGAGGCTCATTTCACTTAAGGGCTGTGTGCAAAGAGAAATTTTGTAAGCTGAACCATGTTTTACTTGAAATTAACTAGGGAAGGTGGCTAGTGAAAGGATATCATTAGCTTCAAAAATAATTTACCACTACCAGTTACCATCAAGTTGATTCCAACTCATAGCGACTCCATGTGTGTCAGAGTAGAACTGTGCTCCAGAGGGTTTTCAATGGCTGTTTTTTCAGAAGTAGATCATCAGGACTTTCTTCCAAGATGCCTCTGGGTGGACTCTAACCACCAACTGCTCGGTTAGCAGTGGAGCTCGTTTACCTTTGCAAAACCCAGGGACTCCAATTTATCACTAATCACTCTCAAATTTATCTGTTGCAAACATACAAAGTTTAGGTGTGGGTATACTGAACTTTCTTAAAACAGGACACCTTCAGGAATATTTGGTGTTTATTTTAACAAAAAATTTTGTTTCACTAACAATCGGGTCAGCAACTTGTGGCTTATCTGGATGACTGAGTGAGGTTTAACATGCTTCCCTCGCAGCAGGCAGATTTGAGGGTTCCGCAGGAGAAGGCCCTTTGCGTGCCCCTCCTGAGAGGCCTACTCTGACCAGTGTCTGAAATTCATCAATGCATTATCAAACTGGGTTTGCCTCCAGGACTGCTTGGCTTTTTTTCGAACAATTTCTATATGTATAATTGAGTGATATTGATTAGATTCTTCATGTTGTAAATGATTATTACTATCCTTTTCCAAACTATTCTCCCACTATTAACACGAACTCAACGTCCCCCCAACAAAAACTTCTCCTTTCCCTCTCCCTCCCACCCCTGGTAATCACAACTAATCTTTAGTTTCTATATATTTGCTTCTTTGTATAAGTGAGACCATGCAGTAGTTCTCCTTTTGTGACTGACTTATTTCCTTTAGCATGATGTTAAGGTTCATCTGTGTTGTGGCATGCACCAGGATCTTCAAACCTTTTAAGAGCCACGTGAGAATGTGGCTATTTTGTCCAAAAGAAGATCATGCTCAGGAGGGACATGATATCTGTCTGCAAATATAGAAGGGCTGTCATATGGAAGAGAGGTTTGAAATGTTCTGTGTGGCCTTAAGAGGGTAGAAGAAGGAGCTAGAGGAAAACAGGTTGTTTTTAAACAGTTAGTACATATATTGTTTTATGGCATTGGTTAACAACCCCATGACATGTCAGTACTCTCCCTTCTCGACCTTGGGTTCCTTCCTGTCCCTCCTGCCTTCTAGTCCTTGCCCCTGGGCTGGTGTGCCCCTTTAGTCTCGTTTTGTCCTATGGGTCTGTCTAATCTTTGGCTAAAAGGTGAACCTCTGGAGTGACTTCATTACTGGGCTAAAAAGTCATCCAGGGGCCATACTCTCCGGGTTTCTCCAGTCTCTATTAGGCCAGTAAGTCTGGGTTTTTTTTGTTTGTTTGTTTGTTTGTTTTTTTTTTTGAGTTAGAATTTTGTTCTACATTTTTCTCCAGCTCTGTCTGGGACCCTCTATTGTGATCCCTGTCAGAGCAGTCAGTGGTGGTAGCTGGGCACCATCTAGTTGTACTGGACTCAGTCTGGTAGAGGCCATGGTAGTTGTGGTCTGTTAGTAGGACTGCTTATTTTAACACAAGTCTGGCAGAGAAATTCATGGAAGAGTCTAACGTACCATCCCATTTTCTCCAGCTGGAAAGTACCCCTCAACTGCAAAAGTCATGTGGTTAGCACCACTTACCTGGGGACATCTTCACTAACACCTGGCCTGCTTGAAAATTTGGTTCCTATTGTGTCAGGAAGATTCGCTTTCAGTCACATGCCTGTGGAGAAAGACTGACCCTGTGTGGCTGATTTGATTAAACACTCTAAAGTCTCTCGAGGTTTTGTAGAAAATCCTTTGCTGTCAATATTGGAGAAAAATTGTTTTAAGGAACCACCTTAATAATTTATACTATAGGTTCCCAAACGCGGCTGCTCATTTGAATCACCTGAGGAGCCTCTTAAAAATAGATTCTTGGATCCCATCCCAGACCTGAATCAGAATTGCCCTGGTGGGGCCCAGGGAATCCGTATTTTTTAAGCTCCACAGGTGATTCTGTGATAAGATAAGTTTAAGAGCCACTGATTTAAATTCAAGAAAGAATTAGAAATCTCACCCCCTTGATACCCACTATCGGCTTTTGTTATATTGATTTCTAAAAATAATATTAAATCCATGTTCCTTGTAAATAATTCTAACAATATAGATATGTAGAAAATAAAAGCAAAAGCCTTCCCTTACCCTCATTATCGACTGACTGAATAAAGATAAAGTACAATAGGAAAGACTCATCCTTATTTGCTGAAATCAGACTTTTCCTTGAGAAGAGATGACGATGAATAATAAAAAAACAACAGAAAAAGTTTTTACCTTTGGTATTTTCTTACATATATATATTTTTCATTTGTGGAAACATTCTTTAATGGGAAACAACAGCAGATGGGGGGAGGAAATATTACTTCTCCCAACAGCAATCAGTCCTGGTAATACCTGGTTCAAAGCAGGATTTCACCCTTGGGAAATTGTGGAAGCTACAGGCCACAGCCGGATCTTGTGGAGCTCCCCACTGGGCATGATAAGATCATTTAAAAAGGTGTGTAGTTGACATTATTACCAGAGTGTTTTCCTTCCTTTCTTTTTTTTTGTTTCATAGATTTTTGTTTCTATGTTCTTTAACATAAATAAACCATAAACATGATTAATTTAAAAATGAGTCTCAGAAAAATAAAATCTATGCTGAGTCCACATGTATTTCTCTGGATTTTAAAACAGTGGCAACACTAACCTTTCAGAGTAAAGACAAAGTATCCTGGTATCCTGACTGTTTTTGATTGTTTAATCACTTAGTGACTGCTACATATGTTAAGAGACTACAAAACTTCCAGAGTATATTTCTATAACTCAAGTTAACCCATTGCCGTCAAGTCAATTCCGACTCACAGTGACCCAATGTGTTATAGAGCAGAACTTCCCCACTGAGTTTTCTTGGCTGCAATCTTTTTTTTTTTTAATAATATTTTATTGAGTTAGGTTTACACATTAAGTTAGGTTCCCATTTGACAATTTCCACACAAATTGTTCGGTGACATTAGTTACATTTATCACAGTGCATCAACATTCTCTTCATGTTCTGTTTGTTCCCTTTCCAATACTCTAGTTTCCCTGCCCCCTTATCATCTCATCTTCGCTTTTGAGAAATTGTTGATCTTTTGGTCTTATATTGATGGTTTTTAAGTAGGGTACCGATCTTATGGGTAATATCCTTTATTTTGTGTGCCACTCTGCTATTTTGCTAAAAGGTTCTAGGTTTAAAGAGTATCCAGGGTGATAATCTCAGGGGGTCCTCTGTTCTCCACTGTTCCAGTTTGTCTTTTTTTTTTTTTTTTAAATAAGAATTTGAGTTTTGCTCCATATTTTTTTCCCACTCTATCCAGGACCAACTATGTGGCCCTGGTCAGAATAGTCAGTGGTGGTAGCCAGGCACCGTCTAGTTCTTCTGGTCTCAGGGTAGATGAGGTTGTTGCTCTTTCAGACTTGTTTCTTCTCTGTGCTTTTGGTTACCTTCTCACTGTTTTGCTCCTGGTGAGTTGAGACCCGTAGTTATCTTAGCCACTCACAAGCTTTTAAGACCCCAGACACTACTCACTTCACTAGGATGCAGATCATGATTTTTGTGAACTGTGTTATGCCAATTGACTGAGTTGTCCCATGAGACTATGGTCCTAACTGGCTGTAATCTTTATGGAAGCAGATTGCCAAGGAACCTCCGGGTGGACTCGAACTGCCAATCTTTCAGTTAGGAGCAGAGCAAGTTATTTAGGGGCCCTCATCCTTTAGTTTGCATTAAGAAGCCGCTGTGGTTCTTGTTAAAATGCATATGTCCAGACCCCACCTCACTCATCTGACTCATAGGCCTAGCTGGGGTGGAGCCTAGAAATCTTGCCTTTTAACCAGGGGTGGGGGCATCTACCCTCCTCCCTAATGTAAGACTCCTCCTATGACATCTGATTTAGGCAGTTTCTACCTCAAACTACTCTTTCCCCCCAACTCCCACTGGTAGCTCACTGCCTCCTGGGGCCCATTCCATTTCTAAACACTAAACTTGATAGAAGCTTCCAATAGAAACCTGTACATTCAAAACATAGTCATTCAACATGCGCTTACACAAATACACCAATACAAAGTCATATTGAAGAATTAAATGCATGAAGAACTGACCTGCTTCTTCTGGTATTTGTTTATCAGATTCAGAAACAAGGCATAACATCTGGAATAGTTGGCCAAGGCTGCACAGCAATCATGGTAAGAAGTAAGTTTGCTGCAGAAATGCCAAACGGGAAAATAAAAATAAACTTCATTTTTCTATAAAATTCAAATACACACAATAACACTTTAAAAACAGTCCTTCTAAGGTTTCCACAGTTCATGAAAAGGAATCTAGAAAGACTCAACATACCAGTCCAGAGAAGCAGCAAGGAAGCTTGTTGCCTGCTCTAGACTCTGGAGGGAAGGAAGGAGAGAAATAATAATAATAATAAAGGTTCTTTGAAAAACAGAATCTTGAAGCTATAATACACATACAGGGTGTGAATTTACACTATCCACATGATTCAGAAAACATAAGTGAAGAAATCTACTTAAAATCTGGTTGGATAACAATGAGTCCCCCGGGACTACAGCAGAAACACATGTAAAACCACTTTAATATACTAGGCAACAGAAGAACTAGACAGTGCCTAGCTACCACCACCGACTGCTCTGACAGGGATCACAATAGAGGGTTCTGTACAGAGCAGGAGAAAAATGTAGAACAAAATTCAAATTCACAAATAAAGACAAGACTTACTGGTCTGACGATGACTGGAGGATCCCCTAAGACTATAGTCTCCAGACACCCTAACTCAGAACTGAAGCCACTCATGAAGTCCACCTTTCAGCCAAAGATTGGATAGGCCTATAAAACAAACAGAAGCCCTGGTGGCACCGTGATTAAGAACTTGACTGCTAACCAAAAGGTCGGCAGTTCAAACCTACCAGTGGCTCCTTGGAAACCCTATGGGGCAGTTCTACTCTGTCCTATAGGGTTGCTATGATTTGGAATCAACTTGATGGTAACGGGTTATAAAACAAAGAATAACACAAGTGAGGAATATGCTTCTTAGCTCAATCAAGTATACAAGATCAAATGGGCAACACCTGCCCAAAAGCAAAGATGAGAAGGCAGAAAGAGACAGGAAAATTGGATGAATGCACACTGAGAACCCAGGGCGGAAAGGGAAAGGGGGAGAGTACCGGCACATTGAGGAGACTGCAACTAATGTCACAAAACAATTTGTGTATAAAATTTTTGAGTGAAAAACTAATCTGTGCTGTAAACTTTCACCTAAAACACAATTAAAAAAAGAAAGAAAGAAAGAAAAGAAAATATATACTTGGCAAATACTAACCAAAATAATGCTGATAGACTATATTAATAACAGGCAAAATAGACTGTAAGGCAAAAAGTCTTCAAAATAGCTTCGAAATATCTAAAGCCAAACCAAACCAAATCACAACTGAAAAACCCATAAGGCCATACTGACAAATCCACAACAAATTGGGAGATTTTCATAAACCTCTTGCAGTAATTGATAGATGAATAGGTAAAAGATCATTAATATTTTTAAAAAATTGATCATGCATAGGTCATAAACAAATCTCAACAAATAAAAAAAAACTGGTATCTTACATTTCACACTCTCTTGTCAAAGTGCAATTAAATTAGAAATCAATAAAACAAGATATATTCTTTAAAAAGAACATACTCTTGAAAATTTAAAAACACATAGCTTAAGGGTCAAAGAAACATGAAAAAAATACTTAAACTTATATGAATAATAACAAAAATACTACAAATCAAAATTCTGGGGATGCAGCTAAAGTAGTAATTAGAGGAAAATTTATAGCCTTAAGAAGGCTGAAAAGAGTCAAACTTCTAACTAAAAAAATTAGAAGCAGAAAAATATATCCAGATAAAATAGAAAGAAAGGGATTAATAAGGATAAGAGCAGAAAAGATAAAATAGGAAACATATGCAATAGAGTGGATCAATAAATCTGCCAATAAATTGGCAAACCTTTGCAAGACTGATCAAGAAAAAAAAGAGAAAAGCCACAAATGATTAAAATTAGGAATGAAAATCAATGTTAACAATGAGAGGCAGTGTAACACAGTGGTGAAAAGCATGAATACTAGAGCCAGACTACTTAGCTTTGAATTGCAGCTTTATAACTTACTATCTCAGCAGCTGAGAGAAAGATGTGGCAGTCTGCTTCTGTAAAGACTGCAGCCTTGGAAGCCCTGTGGGGCAGGTCTACTCTGTCCTATAGGGTTGCTATGAGTCAGAATCGACTTGATGGCAATGGGTTTTTGGTATCTGTGTGGCCTGGGGAAAACTACTGAACCTCTCTATGCCTCAGTTTCCTCATATGTATAACGAAAATGATAATAGTAGTGCCTAGCTTTAAAAAGTTATTATAAGTGTTAAATGAATTAGTATTTGGCACACAGTAAGCACTATATGCTCACTTATGCACTGGTGGTGCAACAGTTACAGACTGCAAACCGAAAAGGTCAGGATTTTGAACTCACAAGCCACTCTGAGGGAGAAAAGACCTGGCCATTTGCTCCAGTAAAGATGGTTGTTGTGTGCCACAGAGTCGATTCTGACTTACAGCAACCCTTTAGGGCAGAGTAGAACTGCCCCGTAGGGTTTCCTAGGATATAAGCTTTATGGAAGCAGATGGCCAGATCTTTTCTCCCTTAGAGTGGGTTGTGGGTTCGAATCCCTGAACTTTTGGTTAGCAGCTGATAACCGTTGCACTACCCGGGCTCCTTATATAAAGATTAAAGCCTTGGAAACCTTATGGGACAGTCCTACTCTGTTCTATAGGGTCATTATGAGTCGGAATCGACTCGACACAACAATAAGTACTATATAGATATTTGTTAAATAAATAAAAGTAATAAAAGGGGACATAATTAGAAATGCAATAGAGATTAAAAGGATAGTAAGAGAATATTTGGAATGATTTTAGATTGTTTGAAAATTTATTAGATACAATGGACAAATTCCTAGAAAAATATAACTTTCTGAAACTGACCCAAGAAGAAATAGGAAATATGACTAGATACATAACCATTAAAGAAATTGCATCAATCATTAACAATATGCACACACACACACACACACACACACACACCAGGATAAAACAGCTTTTCAGGCAAGTTCTACAAGCTTTTCAAGAAACACATAATTTTAATTTTCACAAATTCTTCCAGTGAAGGGAAACAGAATGCTTCTTATCTCATTTTATGAGGCAAATATAAACTTGACACTAAGGCCAGGCAAGGACAATACGAGAAAGGAAAATCACAAGTCAATCTAACTCATGACCATAGATGAAAAATCCCAAACAAAATATTAATTAACCAAACCCACCAATATATAGTGGTTTCATATTAGAAAATCTATTAATGTAATTCTTTATATTAAGGAATTAAACAAAGAAAATCTACATAATCAAAACAATTCAGGGCAAGCATTTGAGAAAATTTAACATCCATTAATCAGAAAAATTCTTCCTTAACTTTTAAGGGGTATCTACAAAGACATACGACATACATTATTTTCAACTGGTGAAACCATAAAAATATTTCCTTTAAAGTCAGGAGAAAGGCGGTAGGCCCAACACTCTCACAACTTTGTACTGGACATCCTAAATAACGCAATAAGAAAAAGATGGGGGCAGGAAGGAAGAGTTAAAATAACTGGAAAAAAACAAAATTATTCTTATTTGCAGACAATTTTCATAGAAAATCCAAGAGAATCTATAGACAATCTCTTGGACCTAATGTTTATCAAGACTGCTGGGCAAAAGATCAGTAAGAAAACATCAATACTACTCATATATACCAGCAACAACCTATTAAAAAATAATTTTTTAACATCACATTAATAATCACAGCAAAAACCATGAAGAACCTAGGAATAAATGTAGCAAAAGATGTGAAAGATCTTCATAGAGAAAAAGATAAAATTTTATTGAAGGACATAAAAGAAGACTTCATAAATGTTTATGGATGAAAGACTCAATATCAGAAAGATATCTGTTCTCCCGACCCCCATCCTAATTAATCTACACATTCAGTGTAGTTCCATTAAAAATCCCAAAGGTTCTATCATGGACCCTAGCTGATTCATGAATTCATAAGAAAGATAAAGAACAAGACAGTCTCGTTTAGATTTTTTTAAAGGAGAAAAAAGGTAAATGATTCATCTTGCATGATAGCAAGACTTAATATAAATCTGTAATAATAAAAACAGTGTGGTATTGGTCTGAGGATAGACTGAGGAGATTACCCAGAAACAGACCTATAAGTATGGGAACCTAGTGCATGAACAACTATGTTTTTAAAATCAGTGAGAAAAAGATAGTGTATTCAATAAATGATGCTGGGAAAATTGACTATCCATATGGCAAAAAAATTAAATTGAACCCCTACATGCCAACACACACAGAAATAAACGCTTCATGGTTTTATAATGCTTCAAAACGGGAGTGATTAAGTACCCAGAATAAAGCTCAGAATAAGGCCTAAAAGGATGGTGCTCAAAGTCCCAATTTGGACTCACATTGTCATACCAGGGTCAATTACCAATTGCGTCTTGGGGGACTTCTGTATTTCTATTAACAACTACACCACTATAGCTTAAGAAAGGCCCAGGTCTTCTTGACAGGGATCATTATGTAAAAATACCAGCAAAGAGTTGTGAGGGAGGAAATACAAATGCGTAGTTTAAAGACATCTCTGAAGTTTATTAACATCTGGCTTTGAGGCAATCTGGATTCAAATGATCATCACTTTTGGGGCAAAGGAAGTATAAGCACGATTATTGAATGTGTGAGCCTAAGTTCAATCAAACCACTGAAATAAAATAACCTGTCACAGATCAAGTCATATTAGAGTTCCTAAGCAGTGGTCCTCTTTTTGAGTAAAAACAGTACAGGATTGTTTCCAAGTGTACCAGAATGCTTGCCATGTTTTGTTGTTTGTTTTTTTTTTAATTGTACTTTAGATGAAGGTTTACAGAACAAATAGTTTCTCATTGAACAGTTAGTACACATATTGTTTTATGACAATGGGTAACAATGCCACAACATGTCAACACTGTCCCTTCTCAACCTTGGGTTCCCTATTACCAGCTTTCCTGTCCCCTCCTGCCTTCTAGTCCTTGTCCCTGGACTGTTG